CCCTTGCCTCAAAATGGCTGCCCTAATCAGGCACCTGGAGGCTGCCAGCTCCAGGCCCTTAGAGTGGCCGGCACATACAGTGCACTGCCACATAGATGTTAAAAAGAACAGGGGTTAAGACACACACCCCTGTTTCACCTCGTTATTGATGTCAAAGTCTTTTGATTCTTTGTTTTCATACACTAGAGTTACCTTCATACCTTGATGTAATGAGCAAATAATGTTCAGTAGTTTGGGGAGGGACAGGGGGGGACAACACAACCCAGTTTCTTCAGAACAGTAAAAAGGCCCTGTCTGCTGAGTGTATCAAAGACCTGCATCAGATCGATGAAGGATATGCGCAGTGGTATGCGTTTTTCTCTACACTTCTCTTGCAGTTGCTTGACTGAAAACATCACATCAATGGCAGTGTCCTGACCAAAAACCACATTGATTTTCAGGATAGATTCCTTCACCTAGAGACTGCAGCCTAGGGAGCATGATGTGTGTGACAGTTTTTCCAACAATGTTCAACAGGGAGATACCTCCACAGCTGGCACAGTCGCTTCTGTCCCCTTTGTTTCTGTACAATTGTGCAAGCCGAGCATCTTTGAAATCTTGTGGTACTGCTTCCTCTTTCCAACAGAGCAGTATAATTTCTTGGAGCTTTAGAAGTAATTCATCGTTGCCACACTTGCAGATTTCAGCAGGCAAACAGTCATTGCCGGAAGCTTGTTCCCAGGAATCAATTTAAAGCCTTCTAGAAATCTTCTAATGTAGATTCAGCGTCTAAATCCATCATAACTTCGAACTGTGGTAATTCTTCAAGCTTTTCGTGTTTGATTTCAGTCTCACTGGAGTACAGAATTCAATATTTTTCAATCCAACACTAGAGTAGGGTTTTTGTAATCAGTAATGGCATTTCTATTTAAGCCTTCTAGCAGACCTGTTTTCTTCTTGACTGGACCAATTGCTCATTTGATACCTTTGTCAGTCCACAGCCATCACCTGCATCAGCTGCTTTCTGAATATCATTGCAGTTTCAGTCAAAAAGCTTGGGCACACATCTTGGCCTCCTTTTGCATTTCTCTCCAAGCTTTCCTCAGATTTCCCAGGGTTCTGGTGTTGGGAGATTTCTTATAGCTGGTTAGCACTGTCCTTTTGTTCGCAGCCAGTGGTAGAAGGGTTTCAGAGTGCTCTTCAAACCAATCTGCATTTCTCTTCCATGTTTTGCCAAATGTTGTTATAGCAGCATTGTACATGTTAGTTTTTTAAGCTTTCCCAAGCCTGGGTGGCTAAATTGTTAGGTAAACCTGCTTTCACAACTTTTCCATTGAACAGTCTGCATTTTTCTAAGTCTTTAGTTTGGCTGATGTCTACCTGATGACATCTGGTAGCTTTGCTATGGTGGATCTTTTTGACAACGATTCTGATTTTGCAGCAGACGAAGGCACGGTTAGTGTCATAGTCAGCACTGTGTTAAGACCTCTTATGCAGTTCATGGTCATACCCAGGGCCAATTACACACACACACACACACACACAATTGGATCTTACACACATGTGCACACGTGAACTGGAGCTCTGACAATTACATACACAGGTCTGTGTAGTGTGGTACATACAGTCTAGAAGGGGTACTACCAGTGTGCAATTTCACCAAGAGAAAAAAGAACCATGCCTAATACATGCAAGAAAATTACTTCTAAGATTAAGAATTTACTATTTTCCATTGTTTACGCCATGTTTGTGATTTGCAGTCTTACAATACAGGGAATCACAACCAGCTTAAGACCTAAGTATCCAAGTCTTTATATGGTCCCACCACTGCAGCATCCCACAGAACAGCAACTCACAACCCCTCACCCCCTGTTTTATCCCCAAGCCACTCGTCTAGAAGTTATCATTTTTCACTATTTTTCTGACAAGGCACTAAGGTACAGAGGGATCAAGGCAGTAAAGAATTCAAGTGTCTTAAAAACCAGTCAAATGCTACCATTACCTCAGTCTAAAGCTACTAAAAATGGAAGTTTAGGATCACAATAACTCTCTAAAGAAGCTCTGGTTACAATAAACGTTCATTAAAATGACAATATTTTTGTTTTCCGCTTCCTCTTAAAGAAAAAATAAGCCTGCCTGTCTTTAATTATCCTCAGGATACAGGGAGACAAATAAACTTGCAAAGAGTTCTCAACCACAGGAAGAAAAAAGAGAGAGAGAGGGAGGGAGAGAGATGTATTATTTTATTATAGCATACAGGCTGCTGTTGTGCTAACCCAACTCAATGACTTAAAAGAGAATTGTTTTTGGTAAAGGCTAGCCAGAGTTCATACTGACTTCAGGCTTTTCAAGTGCCTATTTATCACATTCAGAGGTTCTGAAAAATTAAACATTGAGTGAATCAAGCATTTGGGGACAAAGAAAATGAAAGAACCAACAAGAATCATATTTTAAAGCACATGTCTGGTTTATCACGTGCAAATAATACCTTTATATGTAAATGAAATTACTGAATTATGCAAGCTGCTCATAGAAAGCAGTTAACATTGTATCATACATTGTTTTTAAAACAGACATGCTGAACAAGACTGATCTTGAGTACTTGTATAGTACTGATTGATTGGCCTCCCAAGAGAGACTGTGACCATCTCCAAGGGAATAAAGTACTGCAGAAGCATAAGAAAAATGTTCCTATTTCAGACGCAGCAAAAATCAGACCTACTGATTAAACATTCTTTTAAAAGAGTTCTGCTTCAGGACCAAATAAATGTTAGGAGCTACTATACATTTTTCTTCTGACAATGTGAACAGGGCATAACACAGTATAACCTCATGAATCTGGCATGCTCAGGATGGAGCACCTGCTAGAAATTTGAAAACTCCGAATTTTTTAAACCGAAGCGGCAGCCAGTCCCGGAGCAGCGGCCGCACATGAAGCAGCAAGGCAGGGTGGTGGATGGTGGTGGTAGCCACTGCATGCAAGCTTCCCCCTCTGCTGCTCCGGGACCAGCCGCTGCTACTCCCCAATCTAGTGTATTTTTTCAAAGTACCAGATTTTTGAGAATTCTGGATATTTGACATCCGGATTTATGAGGTTATACTGTATACCGTTCCAAGAGACACCACGAAAAAAGGGAAATGTTCTTCATTTGCATAATAACATATTATGAATTACATATTATAATACATATTATGGATTTAAATGGCAAAATCTGCTCTACAAGAAGGTTTTTCAGACAAATTAGTCTCCAATCTTCTTACTTTCATTTTACTGAAGTGACAGAAGTCATGTTATTCATTTGTCCCACTAAAATGAGTATTACAACCTACAAACAACTTTTTTAAAATAGTTAAATAAAACTACCATATATATATTTTAGGAAACATAACAAATAAGCTTACTAAGGTTTGTTCTACATTGTAACGGATTTATTAAACAAAGAAAGTATCATTTGCAACGAATAAATTAAACTGACTGAAGTACATAAGGGCTAGAAACAATGTTTAAGAACTAGCACAGTGATTCTCAACCAAGATGCATGGCGCTCCAGGATACCTTGAGATAGTTTAAGGGTGCCGTGGGGTGTGTCACAGATGTTCTCTGTTAGGTGTGAAAACATGATTTACAAAATAAGTCCAGAGATTTCAAACAGGACTCCACAATACGAAGAACATTCTGACCTGCTGTGGGCTTTCTAATTCTTTTGCAATGGAAGACTTGTTCTAGTATTTTTGTGTAGTAAAAGAAATAAGAGAAAACTAAGAGCTGGCATTTCTTAGAGGGCCCTGGAATCTAATGAGTGGTGCTTTCAATCTAACAAAGCTCAAAACCACTGAATTAGCAGGTCTCAAACTCGTATTTCATTTTTATTCACAGACTGGAAGAGAAAAAAAAAACCCCAAAACAAAAACCAGAAGCTTTCCTGGTTTATGAACCAAGTTGGTTTCTTAATTATAAATGAACAAGTCACTGAGCTTGAACTAGCCAGATAAACTGAAAAGACTCCCTGTACCTGCCCCAGTGACAGCTGTATCCAAAGCTGGTTCAGGAGTCAGACTGTTTCTAGATACCTCACCAGTGATTTCTACCACAAGACCGCAAACATGCTGTTAAATAACAACATTTTTATTTAAATAATTTTAATAAACAATATGTTTGTGCCTGAACATAGGCTGTCAACTTCCCATTTTATTTTACATAAATACTTTACTTTTAAAAATAAGGCTCATTTAAAAAAAAAAAGAAAAGTCATTACTGATTTTATGTGCCCTGCATTAAATAAGCTTGAGTGCCCCAGCAGTGCATGGGTGCTCGAATCTTCTATCTGCAGTTCCAAAAGGCAAACCTGGCAAAAGTGACAAAGTAGACACACCTTTTTGTAATTTAAGCATTTACATGAAGGGATCACTCACCTCTTACACATTCTAGCACTTTTGGTCTTTGAGGTTTAGATTTAGGAGATGGAGAATTGAATCTGAGATACGGTGCTTTTTTAAGTGTGCTGCGGTGACCCTGGTAAATGGGTTTCCCATAAACCTGAGACAGATACTCTTCATTTGGTACCACTACATTCACATGTCCCTGAAAAAAGAAAATGCATTTTATAAACCAGTCATTATGAAGGCCTAAACCTGTAAAATTACTGTTGTACCTACCCACCTGTTCTAGTTTTGTGACATTCTATAGAGAAGTAAGTAATTCTGGGCGATTTACACATGCTCCGGGTTGGTTGGGGGGGTGGGCAGGGGTTGCACTTTTAACTAGATCAGCTCCTAGAGCCAATCTAATTAAAGTGCCCACAGCATCACATGTATTCAGCATCCCACACTTCAAAATGGCAGTGGGGACACTAACTAAAGCTTGTTTGAGGAGCTTTAATTCAAGCACTCCCACTGCCATTTTGAAGCATGGGGATGCTGAATATGTGATGCAGAGGTTGCTCGAGTGTGCAAATTAGCACTATCCAGCAGACTCAATTGAGTCTGCTCCAATGCCTGCTAAATAGCACGTGTCGGAGCAGACATTCAGCACATACAAATGTCCCCTGTAGTTCTTTCAAAACAATTTCACTTCATGTCATGACACATCCACATCCTAGAAGTGTCGTGAATTAACAGTCAACGTACATAATTATTTTTGTATCAGTTATTACCCATTTGTTAACCAACTCTAACTTGTGTTACTAAATATAAATATCTATTTATCTAAATCTATACAGCTAGACAGATATTTAGCAGAGCGCTCAACAAGACTTTCCTTACAAGGGAAACTCAAGGGAAGGAGCTATTTTTTTTACATGCATGTCTGACAGTTTATACTGAAGTAATGCACATAGCCCTTTAAGCAAAGCCATGTGGCTTTATTGCATATTGTCAAATATTAAACATATATATAGCATGAGCTCTGCTCCCAAACTAAAGGAGAAGTATTTGTCTTACAAGCAACCATTTTATTTTCTGTAAAAGAGAGTAGGACGCACTGATAGTTCTGATCTGATTTTCTATTGAAAACTGATGTATAGTTATTACCAGAACAGCAGGCAAATTACTTAGGATCTCACCTCTACCCTTTCTTCTTTATTCTGCAGACTCTCAGAAGAAGATTCAAGTCTTGAGCTCTGCCTTATAAAGTTCTCCCCCATCTGTTTGTGAACAGGCTTGCCTGCAGATAAAGACTTCTTTGTCAAGAATCCTTGGGCTTTTTGATTTTTTGTTTTAATTTCTTTCTTGGTTTTCATATCCCTGATGTTCTGAGTTCTCTTGATCCATGGAGTCTTTTGATCTTTTTGAACATATTTCGTTTGTTCATAATCATTTCTTGCCATTTCAGCCTGATGATAAAACATAAACATTGTAAAAGGAGACTTTATCTTCAAGCCGATCAGGGGAGGCTATGGACAGCTTTGAAGTTCTGACAATTGATCTGTGTTTCAGGGTAAGCAGTAACTGTGACTCAGTGATCTTCATTAAGCAAAGCTAGTTTTAAAATGTGTGTGAACATTTTGTTAGGTCAAGATATAAACCAGCATAATACACAGCGCCCCAATGTTTTCACCTTGAAAGTGAGCAGTATTTCTAAAAGGTCACATAAAAATATGATCATGTGAGAAACCAACGCAAACGTTTTGTTTGAGCTATACCTGAATTTCCATGCTGATTGTTTTAATCCACTCATCTACCGTCTTTCTAATACGAATCTCTTCTAATACATCTCTGAAACACAAAGAAGAAAGTGCTATTTTTAGGTCACAAAATCCTCAAACAGTAAATATTTACTTCCTAGCTAAGTACTGACTTTTCCTGAGGGGTGTTTAAAACAAACAACCAAACAAACAAGGAAAAATAAGACTTATTTCTTACTTTCTGAGCCCACAAATGTGCTGAAAGTGAATATGCTACTCTCCCACTCCTGGGCTCTGCTCTCAGTATGTCGCTTGTGGAAGCTCCCCTATTTCTGTGCACTATGACTATTCTAATCTCTCCCAAGTAGGTGGCAGGACATGAGATAAGATGGCATAATGGAGAAAAGGTGAAGGGTACAGGAGAATATAATACACGTCTAACTTTGCGGAAAAAATGAGCAGATGAATATTATTATTTTAGCGAGAGATCATTCTTTTCTCTGAAACGGAATCCCCATTCCTGAAAAAAACCTTTACAAAAGGAAACCAATTGTAGGTTTTGTAAGAATACATTGGTGAAAGACAGCACCAGTAATACAACAGAAACCACCACCCAAGTATATTTTGGATATATCATTTAATTAAGCAAGCAGTAAGTTAACTGAAACTAGAGTGGTCCAAAAAAAAAAAAAAAAAAGAAAGGGAAAAAAAAACCCCAGATGAGAAAAACTGGGTGCTGTCAACAAGGAAACCAGTTCTGTAATAATAATGGTTAAAGTCAGGATTCATGTCAAAAGCATGAATCAAAGAATAATGCACAGGGAAGAATGCAGGGTTATTCTATAGGGCTGCTCTGCACATCGAACAAACACAATTCATCCCACTTTTGCCCTCGTCATATCTGAGGAGAGGCTGACTACCATTTCAAGCACATAACTGAGTGCATGTGTCCACACAGGCCCTTGTAGCTGCAAGCCTGCTAAGGAGTAGCAATCGGAAAGGCAAGCAAACATTTAGAGCAGGATGGCCTGGGAAACGGATTGACTACACTTTACTAATGCAAAATTAAACAAAAAGATAAAGGGACAGAAAGTAAGGCTTTTGATCTGCTCTAGATCTGACGCTCATGCTGCAAAAAGATGAGAGTTTCTAAACTACCTCCAAAAACACTAGGGAAGGGAAAAAAAAGGGTTTGAAGGCCTGGTCTGAGATCCCGTGAGGCCAAGGGGTGCTACCACTCAGAAAGAACAACAATTACCAACCTTCATTTCACCCCTCTAGGATTCTCCACCATTTTTAAACCTCCCTTGATTGGGATGATTTAACTTGACGGGAAAAAATAATTTTAAGAAATTCTGGAAGGAAGAATGGAAACTCAGAACTTGTGCTATCCTGTCCACGTAAGACACAATAAATCCTGCTGCTGACGGAAAATTTAACTTCAACTAGACTGGCAAAAAAAAACAAACCCAACCTCTAAAATGTCATCCTTTTCATGCTTGACAGGACAAGAACAAAAACACAAATGACAACCTGATCTTACACGCTGAGAAATGAAAATCAAGTAGCAAATTGCCAGGAAGACTGGAACTATGACTCAGAGAAGAGATGTGCATGTATGCGAGAGAGGTGGACAGGGGGGTTAACAGAACAAAGATCTTTCCGTGCTGACTGAGCAAAAACAAGCTTAAGAGCTAAAACAAAGATCCCATCAACTCTACGGATATTAGCCTTAAGAAGAATCTTCTCAATGCAGACAGACATTTCTCCCCACCTTAACCTAAAGCTGTTTATATTAAGTCATATGTTGAATTGTTTTGGTAGCAGAACTACATTGCTTTATGTGAAGTCTGGATTTGTTTTGGGTTTTTTTAATTCTAGCACTGAAACCAGATCAAGAAGTCAAAAAAGTGATGTAAACCCTACTGAGAAATAATTTATACATGAGGTCTGGGGGAAAAAAAAACAAAACACACTGAAAGTTCAAGAAAAGTCACCTCCCAATTACTGAAAAGTGGCATTAATAGGCTCCACAGGAAATCTCAAGAATTCTTGAACACAAAGTTAAGAAAACTGACACAGAAGCATGTGAAGGTGGGTTTCGATAGTAGTGTGGAAAATTAAGCAATATGATCCTACCGGTTTACAGTCAAGGCATTGATAAAGGTGTACATGGCATCTCCGTCTTTTGCACGAATAATGGCTTCCAGATTTTCTTCAAGCATCTTTTTATTGTTTTGCACTCCTCTCAAAATCTTTTCAGCATCCTTCAACACAGATTTTGGAGCTTTAACTTTCTCAAGAATGGATGGCTTGGAGAGCTGATGCTGGTCAGGAAGACCAGGAGTGATAATGGGGTTATTAGGCTAAAATTAAAGCAAAAGTATTTAAACATTACATCGTTTTTCTACATTATGTAATTTAATCGATTTTACTGATAATCATCATCAATTCCAAGGCTCAACCTAGTAGTATTACAAGCACTTTTAACTACCATTGACTTCAGCATAAATGAGGAGTGGTCCATCTTATAAAACTAAATCCAACAGTTAAAGAAATGGAAGGAAATTTTAAATTCTCACAAATGTTTTTTTTCCTATAATACAAGATACCCAGCATGAGCAGAAATGATAACAACATACAATTTAGAATATAAATATCAGATATCACATGTAAATCACACTCAAGTATCATTAATTATGAAAAACAAGGAACACATTTTTCTCCCAGACACATGCATGTAACTCCTACTGGGATCAATCTTCTCCCAAAGATAAGTTATCACATGACTCAAGAGCAACAGAGTCTACTGCCACTTCTGCTGAGGTTTACTATGTATAGGAATAAAGAAAAAGAAATACTAAAAGCTACTAAAACTAAAAACTTGATTAAAACTTTTAACAAGTCAAAAATAAAATTAAACTGCTAACTATTAACAGAAAGGCCATGAACAGACAAGAATAAAAGATCAAAATAACTATGGGTTTCAAAATTCCCATTTCATGAATCTGTAATCCCATGCACCGGTACAGGCTGGAAGCTGACCGGCTGGGCAGCAGCTCTGCAGAAAAGGATCTGGGGGTGATAGTGGACAATAAGCTGGATATGAGCCAGAAGTGTGCCCTTGGTGCCAGGAAGGCTAACGGCATCCTGGGCTGCTTTGGTAGGTGTGTTGCCAGCGGACTGAGGGAAGTGATTATTCCCCTCTGTTCAGCACTGGTGAGGCCACACTGCAGTACTATGTTCAGTTTTGGGGCCCTCACTACAGAAAGGATGTGGAAGCATTGGAGAGAGTCCAACAGAGTGCAACAAAAATGGTGAAGGGGCTGGGGCACATGACTTACAAGGAAAGACTGGGGGAACTGGTCTTATTTAGTCTAGAGAAGAGAAGACTGAGAGGAGGACTTAATAGCAGTCTACTACTCCCTGAAGGGGGGTTCAAAAGAAGATGAAGCTGGACTGGTCTCAGTGGTGGCAGATACAGAACAATGAACAATGGTCTCAAGTTGCAGCAAGGGAAATTTAGGTTAGCTATTAGGAAGAATTCTCCCACTAGGAGGGTAGTAAAACACTGGAACAGGTCAACCAGAAAGGTGGTGAAAGCTCCATCCTTGGAGGTTTTCAAAACCCGGCTACACAAAGCCTTGGCTGGGATGATCTAGTTGGGGCTGGTCCTGGTTTGAGCAGGGGGTTGGACTAGATGTGACCTCCTGAGGTCCCTTCCAAACCTAACTTTTTATGATTCTATGAATACCATAAGTACTAAAAAATATATTACCTAGGTTACAAGAACAGAAGGGAGAAAGAGATATATAGCACTCTTCCAGACTTGCTGGGCACATCTATACGTGCTATCAATGCACTGTAAGCTTATTATGCAGTAAAATATTGCACAGTAAGCTTTCCCTGGGAGTACTTCTACATGCTTATCCATTGGGAGCAGAGGTTGGACACCATCCCCTGCCCCGGGCAGCTGTCAGCTGCCCAGCCCCTGCTCCAAGATCACTTAATCAGGAGCTTAAGCCTGTGGAAGCCATTAACTGACAAATACTATTAGCAAACAACAATGTGGAGTCATCTGGCAATCTGCAGGGAAGGGTGGGACTTCCAGGGCCTTTCAGTCAGAGGTGTGGGGGGCCCACTTCGCTCAGCCCGTGAAAATGGCTGCCCGAGTCCTGGTCTCTCTGTGAAATCTGCTGGCAGCCACCTCGATTTCAGCAGACCCCTAATTATAACACATTTATAGTTTTCCATGTATAGAAGCAAATCAGTGGACAGCTGCCTTAATATTTGTCCTGTCCCATCCTCCCCACCACATTATAGCGATGGGGAAAGCAGCTGCAGGGGACAAGGGGCCAGCCCTTGGTCCCAGTCCCCTGCCCCTGGCTGCCCCCTGCCATACCTATGCCTGCTCCCCAGCCACCTGCCTTCCCTGCCAGTGCTTGCCCCCTTGCTGCCTCCACCCCCACTCCTTACTTCCCCGACACCTATGCCCGTCCCCTGCCACCTGTTCCACCACGCCTGCCCTTTTCCCTGCTTACCTTCTGCTGCAGCTCTACTCTGGCCCTGGGGCAGTCAGCAGAAGCAATGGCTCCAGCCGGCCCCAGCCCAGCCAGGGAGAAACAGAAGTAGCTTCCAGCCAGGCCAGGTCAGAGCTGGAGACCCAAGATGGAGCAGAAGGTAAGGAGGAGAGGCGGCAGCTGGGGAAGGGGCAGGCTGTATCATCTCCCTGATGCTCCCCACAAGCAGGAGGAGGTGCATTTCCCCTTACACCCCCCTCATCTCCCCTGCACTCCCTCAACTGTAAGCCCCACCTCTGACAAATGAGCCAAATCACCCCTGAGCCTGGAGCCAAAGCCAGCGCTGAGATGCCACCTGCCCTGGGCTGGTATTTGAATTCAAGTGGAGACCTCCCGCAGGCTTATTTGGAGGGAGGAAACCTTGTCTTAGATTCATGTAAATATAGTAAGCAAAACAGTTCTCAACCTTTTTGGACTTGAGGCACCCCTTCATAACTTTTATGAACTGAGTGGTACCCAATTTCAAAAATTAATTTATACATTACAGCGCTTACCTCCTTGTGGAAGGGCTGAACAATACCTGTTGGGTTCAGGCAAGGACAAGCTTGAGCCTGCATTTACTTAGCTTATCTCCTCACAACTCATAGCGCCTTTCAAAGGATCCGGCAGAAATTCATGATGTCCTGGCTGAGACTCATTGGTTTAAACCAACAGTTTTGAAACAATTTTAAAAAACAACTATACCTTAACAAAGTCATTCATGCTTGACTTCCAGGTCTTTGCTTCCTGAACAAGACAGAAAAAAAGGCACAGAGATGAATATATTTTGATCTAAAAATTCTAAAGAGAATACGGTACGACTAAACATCCCTCTATCCTTCCTTTGGGCAAGAAGAGTGTCCTCAAGCTCCATCTCCTGCATCTCACCTCAGCTTAGCAAAAACAATTTAGTTTCAACTCTACTTCATTTGGAGTTAAAGTGAACAATACAGCTAACTCATCTCAGCACAGGATTACACACATACAGCCCATGCACACTCCTGAGCAGCAGCTCCCCTTCCTCTTTTAAACCAGATATAACATACATTTGTTCATCTGCTCTCTGTCCTTTTGGCACATCCCACTATGTAAATGTGACTTACTTCACAAAGGCCCCTAGCAGATGTTAATCTAAACACAGTATAGAAGCTGAAGGATTTTTATTCCAGGTCCCATAAAGATCACATGTCCTGCCATGCTAGATGTTCAAGATCTGGCATGACAGGATGGTAATTTTTGGGACATGGGATCAAATTCTTCAGGTGTAATAGCATGCCCAGACCTTTAAAGGCTTGCTGAAAAGCCAAGCATCAGCTGCACACATGCCCTTCCAACTTGCCAGTGCTCCCTTCTCGCTAAGAAATTTAAATGGGGTTGCGGGCAGCACAACACTGGGATGTGGCGCCTGAACAGGGCTCCCTGAGCACCCTTTGACATGCCACAAGTTCAAATTAAAGTGTGATGCAAATCATCCACTAAGATGTTCCAAATTAAATGTACAATACCTCAGTGGCTGATTTGACATTTCCGTTGTTCGATAAATTGGTTGAATGTGTAGCATGTTATAATCTGTTGCATGATTAACATGTTAATTGTTCAATAAGTGTAACACCTGCAAGGGGTCTACGCTTACTACTTGCTCAGCCTCCCATCGCTTCCTGCTATCCTATCCTGTACAGTAGTGTTTCCCAATCAGTGTGCCACAGCACAATGGTGTGCCATCAGAAATGAACAGGTGTGCTGCAGAATTTTGCTGTGGCAATGAGCTACAATGAGCTCATAAGTATAGAGATGGGGAATGCCTTAACAGGTGTCCTGCAGAAAAAACAACGAGATGCACAGGATCACTGAGGTGCTCCAGCCACTTGCTGTGGCTTAGAGGTGGGCAAAATACGGCCCACAGGTCAGATCTGGCCCACGAGGCCGTTCCATCTGGCCCGTGGGGCCCCTAAAAATAAAGCCCGGCAGGCTCCAACAACAGCAGGGCCCACCCAGCCCCGCCCCCCAGCCGCGGTTTCGGGGCTGGGAGCACGTGGCTGCCCCGGCACAGGAAGCTCAGGTAAGTGGGGGCAGGGGGACCCCAGGCAGGGAAGAAGCGGCCCCTCCCCGCCCCACACCCGGTGCCCTGCGCTGCAGCTGCTCGCAGCCTGCATGAGGCTGCCTGTGACCGCTCCGGACAGCCCCGCACAGGCTGCAAGCACCTGCAGCAGGGAGCACCGGCTATGGGGAAGGCAAGGGGCCATTTTTCCCCATGCTCAGCACCAGCTTCTTCCCTGCTGGCAAGCAGGGGGTCGGGGCTGTGCACTGCCCCCCACCTGTACCGCTGGGCTGGGGGGCACTGGGCGTGAGCGGGTGGGGAGCCAGCGGGAGCATGGGGCCCATACCAGTGTCCCGGGGCCAGTGCCAGCGGGTCCCGGAGCAGTGTGGCAGGAGCATGATGTCCCAGCTGGCAAGGGCTCTATGGAGCCAAGCCAGCTCCCCCACTCCCTGCTGGTGCAGCCCAGCCCAAATCCACAGACCCCTGTGGGCCTGTGCCCCGCTTTGGGCCCCACCAATGCTGGCCCTGGGACATTAGTCCCAAGACATTGGGACATTGGTCCCAAGATTGTTTCCAGGGGGTGGGGCACCCGTCAAGGGGTGGGGCACCTGTCAAGGGGCGGGGCTACCCATGCGGCCCTCAACAGCCTGCCAAAACTGGGTAAATGGCCCTCCGCCAAAAATAACTGCCCACCCCTGCTGTGGCTTCTATTTCAAAGCTGTGGCTTTTATTTCAAGTGGCTAGAGAAACAGCACCTTTGAAATAAAGGGTGCAACAAGCTGCTAATTAAGCAGACTGCAAACCACCCAGATACAAATGATGCAGGTTCTCCTGTAGTTCCAAAGCACTGCTGAAGTCCTGGCTCTCGCGTTCAACAGTAATGTTCATTGTTCTAATGCTGCTGCTATTACCTTTTGGTCTGGCCTTTTTGTAAATGAATCAGTGCTATTGCTAAGGCACTACGGGCTGCACAATAAACCAGCTCTCAGCCTTGGAAATCAATTGTGCTAAGAATTACATTTTCTTTCTAGATGCACTTCTGGAGACCAGCACTATTCTAAATCATTTCAGCACTGGTTTTTAAACTAACAAGTACCTATTTGGCTTAATTTAATTTCTATCTCCAATGCTGCTAGTACAGAGCCATTCCAATATCCAAGGTACTTATTTAGCAGCAGAAGAAACTTATATGTCACAACACCTCTAGCAGCACGTTGGAAATTGGACATTTCCCCAAAAAAGTAATTCAGAGATTGGCAGCAATGGCTCTATTTCTAGATATCAGAGAGCAGTATTTCATTTTTTTAAATCATTATTTCATAGTTGTTAGACGCTGGAAGGGACCTTACAGATCATTGGGTCCAGCCCTCCTGCACTTGGGCAGGAAAGGCTGCTGGGGTCAGATGACCCCAGCAGGATGGTCATCAAGATGCTTTCTCTTATTGTAACTGTTAATTGTTCCATCCATTCAGTCCACCTCTTTACCTGGAGCATGCCCTGCATCTCTCTTTTCAATTGACCAAGATCTTGAAGTAGATTGTCTGCTTTCTTCACTGTCTTCTCAACTGGACTGAAATCCTGGGAAGAGCCTTCAAAGGCAGGGAATGAGCCAGTACACTGGACGCCAGGCCTGCAGTGAAGAATACACATTACTAAACTCTCAAAGCTTCTTGACTGACTTTAGAAATAAGTGTGAGGCAAAGATTTTTTAGGGTGATATATTTTATTGGACCACCTATGTAACTGGGATAAAGTTAAACAAGTTTTCAAATACAAGACATACTTTGTCAGGTCTCCTTTAGAAATAAGTCTCATCTAACTAGAGTGTCTGAATATGGATTTGAACATTGCACAAGCTTCAAGCACTTATTCAGAAAGGCAATTATTTCTTCCTCCAGAGGTCTTGCCCAGTTACACTGCTTTTCGTGTTTTCCCTGGAAAAACAGCAGTGATTTAAGTCAAATCTACCCTGTTAAATCGAGGCAATTTAAATATATAATTTAAATCATCAAATGGAAATCCTTGATTTAAGGCATCAATTTTAATCAATTTTTTCAGTTGTGCTTTATTTTTCTAACAACAGGTGCATTTCTGTTTGGAATAGATATACGCATTAAAACATGAACATTTACAACTAAACAGAGCCTTTATGCTAAATTTGATGCAATGTTTTGCTACATAGGAGAGCACTTTATAACTAAATACATTTATCTGAGCAATTATATAGCTTAATATTTTCAGACTCATTAATTTTGCATTTTTAGTGTGTTAGAAAATGATGATGATTCTGCTCATTATTTATGACAAGCTGCTGTATTAGGGTGGTAGCCAGGATTTAATTAAACACCTAAAACAGCATACAAAAATATTTTTATTAAACAAAACCATCTGAAACGTTTTGGATATATAAACTTCTCCTAGCAAACCATTTTTCATATTGATTGAACAGAGGTATTAACTGTCACCAGGAAAGTAATTAGCACATAAGAACTGCCATTTACCAGATCAGACCATAGGTCGATCTTGCCCAGTATCTTGTCACACAGTGGCAGAGTGAAGACTGAAAGGGAAAGTGAACAGGGTCTGACAAGGGTTTTTCCCCTGTCCCTCTCCCATTTGCAGACTCCAGAAGTTAAAGTCTAGGAAGTTCTGATTCAGAGGCTGTGCCCCTAACTACCATGTTCAAAAGCTACTGATGCATCTTTCCTTCAAATATTTATCCAGTCCCTTTTAAAACTCAATTTCCACAACCTCTTGTGGCAATAAGTTCCACACTTTAACAGAAGTTAAGTTCTTGTTCACATAATACATAATTACTTTTGATTATTTCAAGTCAACCTGGGAAAAAGTTCAAAACTGCCTTAATGAAAGTGACCAAAACACAACTGCCTACTTGTGCAGGTCTCCTAAAACTGAGTCTCACTAGTTCCTTAGGTAGTCCTTTGAACAAGGATTAGGCAGATCTGTGTTTCTCCAGGAACTGGAAGCAGCACACTGAAAACCAAGTCAATCAGATTTTGGGTAGAGATTACAAAACAGGGGTATGAGACCACCCAACGTAAGCTCTATGGAAGATCCTGCTGAGAAAAATGAAGTCGTCTCCTTGAGTCAAAGACTGGGTCCCAGGTATGTGATAACTCTGGCAATCACTTGTGCCAGTAGCACAAGTCCTGGATTCCACACCAAATTACGCCCTTAATTCAGTGCCTGACCTACTGTGCCACATTTATAAAGCCGTATGTCAAAAATGTAATGCTTTTCTTCCTGCCAGTTTCTTCATAGCCTGTAGCCCAAGGTTTCTGATGGGTGCTCACATAGTCAGTATCTCTCTTTTTATCTGAATGTTTCAAGAGATTGTATAAATTTAAACTTACACTTATTTTGTATTAATTTTGGTTTTCAGCAGGTTCACTGTTTAAAAAGAAACATGATAGGTTCAAGATAATATAACCAGATTTTAAAAGGAAGTCTGACAGGCAGGTACCAGGCCTCATGCACAGCAGCCATAAAATTGTTCAAACAGGGTAGCTGTGGATTTTATTGCCATAAGCAAACCCTGCTGTTGACACAGTGCCAGTGTAGCTGGTTCCAGGTGGCTAATTTCCAACCTACTATGTCCTGAGTAGTATTTCCAGAAGAGAGAACAGTCGAAGTGTTGTGCTCAAGAGATCTGGGCTGGCCCTTGGTGGAAGGTGTTACCAGTTATTATTCAACAAACCTAAGAGATCATGGAAATGCAAAGATATCTTCCATCTACTGCTGCTCCCCTTTTAGGTCCTCAATCATTACAGCCACTGCTGCTCCCCTTTTAGGTCCTCAATCATGCACCCCTTCCTCAGACACAAGGACCATGGTCAATACGTCATATATCTGTCCAAATCTTATTACAAATTTAAAAGGCTGTATGAAAGGCTGTAATTCTATTTATTTACCACTCTTTTTCAGAAGGCCTGGTCTTTTGGTTGATGTTTAATGATGCCTTCTCAGGAGACTGAATTTGTCTCAATGGAGTTTCTTGAGAATTTAGAATCTGCTCCAGAAATTTCCCTCCACCTAGAAGATAAAAAGTTTACATTATGTTACCATTAAGCATGCATGGTACATTTTAGTGTTTTCTTTTCATTTCCAGAGGTAAATATTTAATTCACTTAAAAACTAACTATAAAACAGTATTTAATGAGAGCAGTGAGGATACTGCAATGAAAAACTGTAACACTTTGGTTTTCGAAAAGGTGCATTTTATAGGATCAAACCACATTACGCATAAAAATATTGAAATAAACCTGTATTCTTGTGAATGCATCACAACAGGGAAGTGAGACAATAAGTCAAAGAGGGGCACCCCAACATCAGGCAATCTTACAACTATAAAACATAGCATATGAAAATACCATGTTCTCTCACAAATAACACACCCTGCAATATAACACACCCCTTGTTTTTGAAAGAGAACGAAGGAAAAAAAATCTCTCTTTGTAGTAACTAAGAAGCAGCAGCTTGGGAGCAGAGCCTGCTCATTATTCTGAATCCCAGATTTTACTTCCACTTTTGCCCCTAAGCAGCAGAAACCCTTCTTACCACATTTCTCACAAATGAAGTGTTTTGGGATTTCTAGCAGCCCTTTCTGTGGGGGAAATGGGTGCTGTATGTGAGAAAATATGGTATTAAATCATTTCCATATATCAACTGAATAAATATATTTTATATTACAGGCATATATTTACAGATAGAGTCTAAGATTGAATCAACAATCAAAACCAATGGGAATTTTTAAAACTAAACAGTGAGAAAAACACTCTCAATACTGCTAATGCCATAACTACCAGATTCAAAGGAAGTCTTGTCTTCTAGAACTGATGTTTATTTGTATTCCAAGTGGTAGTCATCAGAAAAGCTAATGGCACTTTATCGTGCATCAGCAGATGCATGACAAACAGAACCAAGGTGATACTTCCCCTCTATCGGGCGCTGGTCAGACCGCAGTTGGAGTACTGTGTGCAGTTTTGGGCACCACACTTCAAGAGGGATGTGGATAACCTGGAGAGGGTCCAGAGAAGGGCCACTCGTATGGTTAAGGGCTTGCAGGCCAAGCCCTACAAGGAGAGACTAGGGCACCTGGACCTCTTCAGCCTCCGCAAAAGGTTGAGAGGCGACCTTGTGGCTGCCTATAAGTTCATCATGGGGGCACAGAAGGGAATTAGTGAGGCTTTACTCACCAAGGCACCCCTGGGGGTTACAAGAAATAATGGCCATAAGCTAGCAGAGAGCAGATTTATAGATTCATAGATTCTAGGGTCGGAAGGGGACCTCAATAGATCATCGAGTCCAACCCCCTGCATAGGCAGGAAAGAG